AAGGTTAAGAAGCCCTGGCATAGTCCAACCCATCTTTTTACAGAGATGGAAACTGAGGCACAGAAAAGTTGTAATTTCCCCCAGCTGCGCTGTTAAGCTGGGTCTTATTTTCTGGTTCGTTGCTCTTTCTGTTTCACTCTGCTGTATCCATTAGCCCTGGGTTTTTCTAGCTCAGGTTCAGAGAGTTTGAATGACTTGCCCAAGGTACTGAGGCTGGCATATGGCATAGCTGGCCCTGGAAGGGAGGGCTCCTGAGCCCCTAGGTGGAGTTGTCCCTATCACCTCAGGCATGCCCTGGGACTTCTCTCAGGCCACACCAGCCAGCTAGAATGTTACCTGTACTTCCCAGCCCCCAGCTTGGCAGCTCTGCCTTTCCAACATCGTATCACCTAGGGAACAAACAGTGTACACTGCCTATTCATTTGTCATTCTGTCAGGCCCAGTGGGAGAGGAGGGAAGGAGAGACAGAGGGGGAGAGAGAGAGAGAGAGAGAGGAGAGAGAGAGAGAGAGAGAGAGAGAGAGAGAGAGAGAGAGAGAGAGAGAGAGAGGAGGAAGAGAAAGAAACAGAGAGGAAGAGAGAGAAGGAGGAAGGGAAGGGGAGAGAGAGGGGGAGAGAGGGAGAGAGAGAGAGGAGGAAGAAACAGAGAGGAAGAGAGAAGGAGGAAGGGAGGGGGAGAGAGAGAGGAGGAAGAGAAAGAAACATAGAGGAAGAGAGAAGGAGGAAGGGAGGGGGAGAGAGAGAGGGAGAGACAGAGGGAGGGAGAGAGAGAGACAGAGAGGAAGAGAAAGAAACAGAGAGAGGAAGAGAGAGAGGGAGAGAGAAAAAGGGGGGAGAGAGAGAGAAGGAAGAGAAAGAGAGAGGAAGAGAGAGGAGGAAGGGGGGAGAGAGAAAGGGAAAGAGAGGGAGAGAGAGAGAGTTACAGACAGACAGAGAGGAAGAGAAAGAAACAGAGAGAGGAGGAAGGGAGGGGGAAAGAGAGAGGGAGAGAGGGGGGAGAGAGAGGAGGGAGAGAGAGAGAGGAAGAGAGAAGGAGAGAGAGAGAGGAGGAAGAGAAAGAAACAGAGGAAGAGAAAGAAGGAGGAAGGGAGGGGGAGAGAGAGAGGGAGATAGAGAGAAAGAGAGAGAAAGAGAGAGAGAAGGAGGAAGGGAGGGGGAGAGAGAGGGAGAGAGATACAGATAGACAGAGACAGAGAGGAAGAGAAAGAAACAGAGGAAAAAAGAGAAACAGATAAAGAAGGAGGAAGGGAGGAAGGGAGAGAGAGGAGGAGAGAGAGATACAGACAGACACAGACATAGGAAGAGAGAGAGACAGAGAGGAAGAGAAAGAAACAGAGAAGAAGGGAGGGGGAGAGACAAACACAGAGAGACAGAGGAAGAGAGAGAAGGAGGAAGGGAGGGGGAGAGAGAGGGGGAGAGAGATACAAACAGAGACAGACAGAGAGGAAGAGAAAGAAACAGGAAAAGAGAGAAAGAGAGAGAAGGAGGAAGAGAGAGATAGAGGGAAAGAGAGAGAGAGAGGAAGAGGGAGAGATACAGACAGACACAGACATAGGAAGAGAGAGAGACAGGAAGAGAGAAACAGAGAAGGAGGGAGGGGGAGAGAGAGACAGACAAACACAGAGAGACAGAGAGAGGAAGAGAGAGAAACAGAGAGAGAAGGAAGGAGGGAGAGAGAGAGGAAGAGAGAGAGAGATATAGACAGACACAGAGAGAGGAAGAGAGAGGGACAGAGAGAGGAAGAGAGAGACAGAGGAAGAGAAAGAAACAGAGAGAGGGAGGGAGGGGAGAGAGACAGAGAAACAGAGAGGAAGAGAGAAACAAAGGAAGAGAGAGAAACAGAGAGAGGAAGAGAGAGAAGGAGGGAAGAAAGGAGGAAGAGAGAGAGATACAGACAGACACAGAGAGATAGTGAGAGGAAGAGAGAGAAAGGGGAAGAGAAAGAGACAGAGAGAGGGAAGGAGGGGGAGAGAGAGAGAGAGAAAGAGAAAGAAACAGAGAGAGGAAGAGAGAGAAACAGAAGGGGAGAGGGGGGGGGAGAGAGAGAGAATACATCATCTCTCTATTAGAGCCAGAGAGAGGAGAGAAGCCCAGGAATCAGGCTCTTTGAGATCAGGTGAATATAGGCCCATATTAGGGTCACTCACCAGAGAGCAGGAAGAATGTACCTTTGATTGTTATAGTTCTAAGGTTTGCCTTTGAGATTTCCAGTGAGATTGTGGCCTAATATTTACAGCCACATTTGTGCTTACATAGTGTGATCACCTTCAGTAACGCTGTCTTCAAAGAGAGCAAACTCCCTCTATTTAGAATCCAGGTAGTAACTGTTTTGTTCCAAGCAAGACTGACTTCTCTTCTATATCATTTTATTGTAGATTTTGTGTTCTAATTCTTTGCTCATTGAATGTTCTGTGCATGGTCTCTGTGGTAACTCTTCATCAGCGTATATAGGATAACTCAGTTAAATAACTTATTAACCAGAGCACCCCATCCTCCAGCCGTTTTGCTTAAATGGGACTTTTTCGTGTTTACAGTAATACAGTTCTTTCTCTACAAAGATGAGCTGGGGATATTGTCTGCAATCTACTGTTGGTCCTGGGGGTGGTTTGCACTGCTCTGTTGACATGATTTTCACCCCATCCCCCTGGGGACCAACCTGTGACCCGGGAACAGAGTAAATTTAGCTGGCCCATGGGGAGATTGAATCCCAACCTTGTGCCTTGATGAAAGTATGTTTGCAAAAAGGGTGGTGGGCAGGTGATGGACCATGAGAAAACTCTCAACCAAGTAGTGGCTGCAGCTGGGCCAGGGCTACAAGTGGTTAGGCAGCTGCACTTGGCCAGAAGCCAGGCTGTAGCCAGAAGCTTTGGCCACTTGCCCTAGTGAAAGCTGCTCTTGTTCACTGTCTTCCAAGGATAATATGAGTTCCTGGAAATTGAGGCTCTGACACTAAGGTCATGGGATCTATGGTTGGAAGGTACCTTAAAGATTAGCCAGACATCTTCATTTTGCAGTTGTGGCAAGGAGGAATGATTTGACTAAGGCCATACATTGAATTGGTAACAGAGACAGGCCTTGAAAATTCAGTTTTGTCTTTTTGCTAGAAGAGAGATTGGCTTTTGGTTAGATGTTCAGGTAAGGTGACAAAGATAACAGCATGTTCTTTTTGTCTGTTGTTAGGCACAGGTAGCCAAACTGGGGTGCATGTACCCCCAAGAGTTATAGGACAAGTTTGTCAAGGGTGTATGGGGAATAGTTGGTAAATAATTGCATTGTCCTATTGGAATATTCCAAAAAGTAGCAGTAGTAGTGGAAAAATGTATGTACTAGATAAAGTTTTCTTTATGAAAATTTTTAAAAAAATCAGTTCTTACACTCAATACTTGGCTTCAATGGATGAAGCCTAGTAAGGGACCTTCTCTCCCCAGCTTCATCCCCCCTCAATTCCCTTCTTTAGAGGGTTTGCCATTGTAGTATACAGGGTCCCTCGTTGGGAGATAGAGTCCTAGGAATGATTCCCAGAGAACAAGGTCTCCCTTTGGTGGAGCAGACAATGCAAGCTTCCCCCTTAGAAAGAATCATGTCGACTCTCTAAGCTGGCAGGGCCCTTCCAACTTATCTTCTCATAGAATTTCAGAGTATGAAGGGACCTCAGAGATCATCAAATCCAGGCATTCACCTGACAACATTCCCATTAGGTAAGTATGGTGTGTTTCCTTGTCTGGCAATAGGGAGCTCCCCACTTTACTATTTTAGAGTTCGATTGGGAGTTTGATTAGTTTCTTCTGCTATGTGACTTGCTAAGGTGTTCAGTGAATTTAGAATCCAGGTATATTGAGCCCAAATTATTTTCTCTGCAGCTCTTTGGCCAAAAAGAACGAATCTAATCCCATTTTCACATGCCTGCTCTTCTCTCTCTTAAGTTGATGAGGGTCTGAATGGTGGTGGGTGCTGTGTGGCTGAAGAGGAGGGGAGAGGGAAAGAGATTGGGGACGTAGAACTGACGAGGCTTTGCAAGTGTTTGATTTTGAAGGATGAAGGGGAGGATAAAGGTCTGTACTGCCTGTCCTTTGCACTGATTTCATGACCTTCTTTGAAGGAAGTGAGTAGTTCTGAGGTCTACGGGTCCCATCATGATCTTATCTCCCCTAACTACCTTTTAGAGCCGAAGTTGTTAAATGTGTACAAGGAAAAAAAAGGAGCCTGGAACAATGGAAGGAAATTCACCTGGGTGTCAAGAGATTGGAGATCTAGCGCGTCCTCAGAGAAGTGTCTAGGCTGCGTTTTCACCCACTCTTTATATGGCACGAACTGAATACTGTAGCCCTCGCTAGTCCAGTGGGCAGCCGAATGAGCTCCCCCCTAATGTGCTCACGGGCAGTGGAAAGATTGCTGGCTTTGAAGTCAGCTCACCCACTTGAAAATCCCTGCTCTACCCTACCTGGGTGACCCTGGGCAAGCCACTTAGCCTCAGTCTTCTCTAGGATGAGCCTTAGACCAGATGAAATTTAAGGCTACTTTCAGCTCGGAATCTGATATCTGGGTCCTAGTCCTGGAGGAAGCCGAGGCTTAGGCTGGTGAAGGGACTTAGCAGACGTACTACAGCAACCTAGCGGTAGAGCCGCGTGGGACCTTGCAACTCCTGACTCTAAGGTCCAAGGCTCTTTCCCTTACACCCCGCCCCTGCCCCTTCCTCCGCGTGCGAGGCCTTGCCCCCATTGGCTAGCCAGAGGCAACCGACTGGAGTAACCAATGGAAGCCGCTGTCCTGGGCACTCTGGGCGAGGGGCGCTCTCGGTGTGACTGGGGGGAAGGGGCGAAGCGGGAGCCTGGCACGAGGAGCCTGACATCTGGCGAGGCGGTCGCTGACCCCTCCCCTCTCGACGAGCCCCCAGGGAGGCGAGAGCTGCCTTAGACGGTAGCAGCAGCCTCGGCGGCGGCGGCCGCCGTGAGCGCCACCTGATCGTTAGACCTGCCCACTCGGCACTGCCCACGCGCCGCCGCCGCCACCTCCCGCCGTCCGCCTTTTGTGCCGCGCGCGCTCCCCGCACACACAGTCGCGCGTACCCGCAGACGCGCAGCCAGCCCCGCACCGCACACACCCGGGCCGCCTCCCACACCCTCTGCCCCGAGGCGCCGGCGAGCAGCCGCAGCGGACCCCTCTCCTTTGTGTGGCGGCCGCCGGCCGGCCGGCCAAGGCCACCCTCGGGCCCGGCGCGGGGGGGCCATGCCGCATCGCGCTGCCGCCACCGCCACCACCACCGCCTCCTCCCCGGACACGGCCGGCACTAGCCTGGCCTCCCTGGAGCTCGACTCGGCGGCCATGGAGCACTACGTGCAGGTCCGCATCTTCAAGATCATCGTGATCGGCGACTCGAACGTGGGCAAGACGTGCCTGACATTCCGCTTCTGCGGCGGCACCTTTCCCGACAAGACTGAAGCCACCATTGGCGTGGACTTCAAGGAGAAGACGGTGGATATCGAGGGCGAGAAGATCAAGGTGATGGGGGCAGGGAGGGCGCTGGGCCCGGGCCAACTGGCTGAATCTCGGGACCACAGTTCTACACCTCGGGCTCGGGGACCGGGACGGTGCCAGCTCGCCAGCTTGCCGAGCCACACCATTCCCGCACCCACCCTTGCCGTCTCCCTTTCCTGCCCCCCAGACCCATTTCAGGGGTCCTCAGGGAGTGGTTGGTTTTCGGGATCCAGTTCTTTCTTGCCCTGACAACCCAATCCCAAGGGAATGCCTGGAAGGATGCTTGACTCCGCCCTTGACCTCCGACCCCTAGCGGGCCGGACTTGCCTCGGGGGTGGGGTGGGGCGGGATGGAGATCAGAGGTCTGACTGGAGGCTAGTGCAAGTGTTCCAGAGGAGGGGGGAGTGGTTCGTGAAGCCACTTCCTAAGATCCAGAACTGCAGACGCCTTAGAGACCATCTTAGTCAAACCTCTTTTTTAGAGACGGGAAACTGAGGCCCAGAGAGGGGAAGGAGTCTGTCCCAAATCGCCCAAATAGAGATTTCACAGCCCTGATTTCAAGCCAGGTCCTCGCCTGGGCCCCACTTGCAGCTAGTGACTCCCTAGTCTGACAGTGAAGCCGATGTCCAGCACCAGAGAAAGGGTGTTTCCCCTAGGAGAAAAACTCTTTGTACTCACTAAATGACTCTGGACTCCCAAGAGTCTCCAGCCCAGGGAACAAGAGGTCCTGCTGTCTATTCTCCGTCCCCATAGATAGCGATGCCAGTTCTCCCCCTCCCCGTCTACAGCCAGTGCCGCTGACAGATGTAGACAACTGATTCTCTGAGCTTTGCTGGAACGAAGACCCCATTATTAGAGAACCATATAAAATACATTGTTCTTGAAAGGGACGGGGGGGGGGTGTCACAAACCCAAACAGTGTGGCCCTTTTAAGGTACATATTTGTGCACATATCTATCGCAGGGTATTTTTCAGTCTGTGGAGTGGATTCCAAAGCACTTTGTAGATGTGCGGTTTCCTTCGGTACCTTGGCTGCCATTAAAATACGAGCTAATTTGGCTAAGCAGTACTTGGAGTGGGGGGCAGGTGGGAAAGAATGGGAGAAGTCAGCAAAGAAGGCTGCCTGATTTTATATTGTAATTGAACGAAGGTTAGCAGGGTTGAGAAATTCTTAAAGAGGCACAAGGGCTCCTGGAAACTGTGGGGCCAGGGCTATTGCTGTGCTTAGACAAAGCAGATAGGGAGCTGTATGTGGTGTGATCTGAGAGGCTCCTCAACCCCAAGTGCCCCAAACTTTTCCTGACACCCAACTTGCTTCCCAATGTTGCATTCTTAGTCATTCCATTGGATTAAGGTATGGTCTCATGGGCTTGGTTGGAATATCTGGAAGCAGAAGAAGCCCCTCAAAAGAATTTCCATTAGCTAGCTGATAGATGAGATCTATTTGAGATGAGATCCAGGTTAGGGATGTTCCAAGGTTTGTGGCTTGGTAGAGAGTGAGCATTGAGAATAGGTATGTTTAGGGGGGGTATTGGGGAGCCCTGAGTGGTCTGCTTGTGGGTGAAGTGAAAACAAGACTAGAACAGGGATCAGGGGAAGCAGGAACAAATACAGAGTAAGGAAATTATCAGATTGAAGAGTTCAGAGGGACCTCAGGGGTTGACTAGTTCTATCTGTGAACAAGGATCTCTACAACATTTCCTCTGTTCAAATAAAATCCTACCCTTTTTGGAAGATCTTCACTATGGGGAGCTCACCCTCCCAAGGCAACCCATCCCTCTTTTAAAAATCAATGTTTTATTGATGACTTTGATTTTTACATTATGGTCATTTCTGGACATACCACCCCACCCACCACTCAGCCGAGGCTTCACCTGTAACAAAGAAAAGCAGTTAAGGCCAAACCTCTGACACATCTGAATTAGATATAGCACTGGGCTCCTGTAGGCCCCCACTTCTCTGATCATTACAATGACAAAGCTTTCATTTTAGTGGGGGTTTTGTTTACATTGCTGTTAATTGTGTTTCTTGTCCTCCTAGTTCTGCTTGTTTTGACCTGCACCAGTCCTTGTTACTCTGGATTTCTCACATTTATTATTTTCCCATAGACCAATAACCTTACACTCCTTTTTGTCAGGCTGTTTCCCAGCCAATGCACACCTATTTTCCTTTCAATTGTTTGCTGCTACAAAAAGTGCTACTTTGCGTGCTCTATATATATATATGGGACCTTGCTGTATTTGACTTCCTTGGGATGGCTGGGATCATTTCATTTTGCTTTGCTGCTTACTAGTTGTATGACCCTGAGCAAGTCACTTCCTTCTCTGGGACTCGTTTTCTCTTCTCTACAATGGGGGTGACTTGTATTTGCACTCATTCCTTTGAAGGCTTGTGAGGGAAATGCTTTGTCAGCCTGAAAATATTGGAGAAATGGGAGTTTTTCTTGTGGTTCCAATCACTATGCTGAAACTATGACGATAGTTCTCCAAGCCCATCACTCAGTACAGGGCATTGTTCTTCTTCCCAGAGCCAGTCTGGTAATTTGGGAAAATCTGGCACATGCACATGAGAAGGATTTCAGACCTCCCATAGTGGCCCCAAGCACAAGCAGCTTCTGTTTCTCCAGGGTTTTGACATTTACAAAGCCCGTTCCTGGACAATAGCCCTGTGAGGAGCTCTGATCAATGCAGTGACCAACTGTGACCTCAGAGGCCTGACAGTGAAGTGTGCCCTGGATAGCAGAGGGATTGTGGGCTGAAAGTGCTCAATGAGGCATCCTTTGCCAGACAAGGCCAGTATGTTAATCTGCTTTGTTTAATGGCTACTTCCTTCTTTCAAGGGAAGGTTCTAGGATGGTGGTGGTAGTGGTATGTGTGTGTATATATATGTGTGTGGGGGGGGGAGTGAGTAATTGGAAAGTGACAGTGATGTTTTAAAAAAACTACATCAACAAACACATGTATGTACGTGTGTGTGTGGACACACACATATACACACATACATAACCCTAGAAAGGAGTACAAGGATTTTTTCCCCCATTTTACAGAAGAGGAAACTGAGGCTCAGGAACAAGACACAATTTATCCATGGTCAAATCCCCGTGAGGCCAGAGCTAGTAAGTGTCAGAATAGGAATTTGGATAGCCTCCAAATCTAGCCCATGTCCTGTTCTACAACAAGCTCTGAGGAGTGATTAGAAATGGGGAGACTTTAATATCAGGGCTGCTGATCAGTAATTGTAAGGCCTGGCCTGGTCCTTGCCTCCTTTCAGGCTTGATTAGCTTTGAACACTAGCAGCTGGCCAGTGGGGGGGGAGCACTGACAGGCAGGAGACATTGGCATGAGAGGAGAAAAGAGAGGCCCCCATCAGAGAGGGGGAGAAGACCAGTCCCAGGGCCCTAAGGAGGTACTTCAGTGGGGTTTGTGCTAAGTTTTCCAACCTCTTCCCCAGAAGGCATGGGCCTAGGTCTAGCATAAGTCACTAGGCACAAAGCTAGTCCAGCATCACATCACATGCACACAGGTGCTTTATCAAGGCTTGTGTATGCTAAGGAATCGCAGGGATTTGGCCTGAGATGGTGAGCAGGACACACCTGTACATAGATATACAAGGGGAGAAAGGGTCCTATGCCCATAGCAGACCTCTGTCTCGTGTAGTCCCCAAAGGAGCTGGAGGTGGAGGGGGGCTGTGACCTTGCCTCTTAGGGAACTGCAAGTGGGGCTCTGAAAGGCCAGCATGCATGAGTGCATGAGTGAAGGTGGCAGAGAACAGACCAGCTAGAATACTCTGAAGTTTGGAGAAGAAATTCCCTTAGCCATCCCTCCCCCTACTCCCCTACTCTCCTTCTACCTTGGAGTTTCTCAAGGAGTGAATGCCAAAACCACCCAGCTAGATGGTGACTGCCAAAGGCTTCCCCCTTTGTGAGAAAGATACTACTGGCTGCTTCTCAGGCCATGCTGACCTAGTCCTAGAAGAGAAACCAGATGCAGGGGTAGGGAACTTTTGGCCTTGAGGCCACATGTGGCCCTCTAGGTCCTCAAGTGTGGCTCTTTGATTGAATCAAAGGCTACAGGTTCCCCACCCCCTGGACTGGAGTATAAAGCCCTGTTTACTATAGCTAGAGCCTCAATATTAAGGAGTCATAAGAATGCTGGGGATCAAGGTCCGGGGTATTGTGGGAGATATGGACAAAGGTCTGAGGATCATGGCAGATGTGGCTAGACGTCCAGGGGACTTAAAGAAGAAAGGATGGAGGGGGGGTACAGGAGAGCTGGATAGGGACATCCTAGACCTCTAGAGAGCTTGAGATAGAGCTAGACAAAAGTTCAGGATATCATAGGACAGCTAGAAAGAAATCTAGGATATCATTGGAAAACTGGGTAGGGGTCCTGGAGGCCCTGGTCCCTCTGGCCCATAGCAGGTTGTATGGCCTCTGCTATGCTGTCCTCCAGAATAACATGTATATCATGCCTTTGGGGGATCTGGGATAGAAGAGTGAAGAGTGATTTGATGATAGATGGCCCTTCTATGGGTTTTAAGGTTTACAAAGCACTTTTATCAACTACACCCCTGGGAGATGCGGAGTGGAAGTCTATTGTCCATAGTCCTCGATTTACTGATGAGAAACCTGAAGCAGGAAGTGAGGAAATTGCGCAGGGCCACACAACATACTTTTCTGTTGTTTAATTGATGCCCTTTAAACAAACAAAACAACAACCCTAAATGTCACTTCCCCTGACACCCCCCCCCCCAACAGACAAGGACCCTCAAGCCAAACAAATCCACAGACAGGCCATGTTTGACAACATACCACTCACTCATTCTGCACCTGGAGTCCTCCACCTCTCTGACGGAGATGAGGGACCAGAGATGTCTGCTGAAGTCAGCATTGGTCACAGCATTGATCAGAGTTCTGATGTCTGTCAGTGCTGTTTTCCTTTATAGCAGCCTGGTTATTGTAGAAATTGTTCACTTAGTTCTTCCGCTCAGCCCCCCTGCTCTTCATTCTGCTGGTGTTTCTCTTG